AGTGGGTCCTAGTATATGAACCGGCCCCACGACCCGCACTTCTGCGCCACCACGAAGCATGAAAAGTGCCAATTTTGCAAACAGTCTGTGCAAAAGCGTTTTGCCGCCCAGGCGAACTAGTGCGTCACGAGTACTTGCAGAAAGTTCGCTTATGGAGAGCTACTCTCATCGAAGTACGCTTCGGGTGAAATACAGAGCAGATATCGTATTTCAAGAGCTTAAGCTCGTTCTCTACAAGCGCGTTCTCTTCTTCAGTAAAAGCCATGGTTCCCCTGAAACGGCCTGAGGCAGAATGGGCTGTCTCTGTCCTTCTTGCCAGAGATCGTGGCGCTTGGGATGTTCTCTGTCTCACTACATCCTCTACGCTTTTACCCTCAGCGACGTCGATGATGTCCCTTACAACCTGAAAAGACGCAAAAGCATGCATGCAGGCGCGTCCTCCTTTTCAAAAGATAGCCATAAAAATGCCTGAAACCAACACCGATATCTCCTCTCAGCGCAGACAAGAACCTGAGTTTACATGCCACCGACACCAAGGGTCCGCCTAGAGACATATTCCGACATAAAGGCTCGTGAACTCTGATCAACATGAAATTTAAAGCCAAGCGAATTCTATACAGCGCTCATACTTCCGTTTCCATCAGATCCAGAGCACAGCGAAGCCTATGTTTGTCTGATGGGTTAATCACAGTACAAGATTGAGAACGGTTCCTCGGGAGGCTTACTCCAAAATCAATGCCTGTCACCAACTCGATAAAACTGAGAGGAACTCTGAAGCGCTCCGCACGCATCCTATGGTACATGGCTTTGTTCGGCACAACGAACGCCCCAAACACAGATGGAGGGGGAGTACCCTTGGGCCAGGCCGCCTTTTTGGAGTCAACTGGAGCCTGGCCAATATTTGGCGGCATGTCATTTTGCTTGTTCTCCTCGAGGTCCCTAGGATTAACACCCAAAAAAACCTTGAAAAAGTGGGTGGGCACTGGCGTGAGGTTGTAACCCAGGACATCAAATTCAATATTCATAGTTGGAAGATCCTGTGGTTCATTTGCCGAATGGCTGAGTCGCCAGCGGCAGCGATCAAACATGCTCCGCAGAGGAGAATCGTGCGCAAGCCATGAGAATCGTTCCTTTGAAACCGGCTTTAGCTCTGGGGATGACGCTCGCAGGAACCGACGACCGAAGGACACAGGATAGGAGGACCCTGTCAATGCCTCTATGCTAACGGGCAACCCGACATGGGCTCCATTCCACGGCCTGTGCAAGCAGTAGCAGCAGGGCATGCAAGGCCAAGTTATTGTGAAGAGACGCGGGCGAACAGGAACACCGCAGCGAGACAAAGACGAATTCCGAATCGAGAAATTCTTGTGCACTCTCAGCGAGAATATTAAGTATGCCCAAGCATTACACTTTTGCAACGCGCAAGCAGATACAAAACGCGCGCTTTCCGTAAGTCCCAAAACACTGGAGGAAGAGACTGAGAGGCCTGTCGGCTATGTGAAGCAGATTAATGTACTTCTACAGCCTGCGTGCACCTTAGGAAATACCCTTTTGCAGGCATGACGGAGATGCTGACCTCAAGCAAATATATATCCTCTCCGAACTACCCAAAGGGCTTTTGACACTTGGGAACACATCTCCGTAGACTGATGGCGAAAAAGCAGCTGCGTTTATGGGCAGCCACATAGGACCAGTAAATGCCAATACGTCCTTAAAGTACGAGCGCACAGACGAAACCATGGATTCAACAATAGTCCTGTAAGGAGAGGATGACAGCAAATGCAATCGCAGAAGACACAGAGAAAGCTGCCTGCATACGCAACTATTCAGTGGAGTTGCGTTCAATAGTTTTCAGCGAGTCAGGGCGAGCCACAACGGAGATGGCTGGCAGCGGCGGAGTGCC